GATGTCAGTATATTTTTCACTTCACTTTCTTTATTATTGCCATTTCTCTCCTTTCTTTTTCCAACAGTAATCTGTGTATAATCTATTTTGTTGTTGGTTGGAGGCTTTTTGGTGATTTGTTAGCTTTTCCTTCCCCCTAGCACAGATTTGTTTGCAGGCAAATTTTTTCACTTTTATCCTGACCAGAGATTCCTTAAAGAATATATCCCCAGGTTCTCTCCAACAATGTTTTGTTCTCTCTCATTTTCAAGAAGCTTCATCTATATTTTGTACAGTATTATTACAATTTTTCCCCATTAATTTCGTGACCAAGCACTTTACAAACACTTTTAACTGAAGAGCCCCTGGGACCTTATGGAGCAAATTGAACATTTATATTAGGTTATGACATTAGTAGATTATGATCTTTCTCCCCTTCACTTAGATTTCTTTAATCAAATTAAACTGTCAGGCACAATAAATAATAATGTATTTGTTGCTGTTTATTGCTGTAGGGCAATCAAAACATACCCCCAAAGGCTGAGGCTGTGTGTTGTTCAAGAGTAATTACATTGGGTTGGAGAAAATCGAGTAGGGCAACAAAGGCTTTCACTGGGTCACCTGGAGAAGTGGAGAATTATTTCAGTGGAAGGGGCAGCAGCTGCTCAGCTCCTGTTCATTTTTCTCCTGTACTCTATGCAGTTGAGATACTGTTTTCCCTAAAGCATTTCTGGAACATGAGTGTTAAAAATACTTCTGAGAGTTGGGATGCTGATTATGCAGCTCATTTGCATAATTCCTTCTGTTATTTAGGTTTAGCAATAGCAGAAGTGGCAGGCCAGCATGTATCCATCTCTAAAAATGTTTTTCTGGACACATTGTTTCAAGGGGAAGGGGAAATCCCAAAAAGGATTATCAAGACTCTAATATATACAAAATAGAATGGATTAGATATTGAGGATAATTAATAATGTCCTGTGTTATGCTATAATAATAATAATGATAATTCTGTTTTAATGAGAATGCTACTTAATTGAGAAGTTGCTTGTGGGGATTAATCTGCCCTGCTATCAGGTGGTTGAATCTGGTGACAGCCTGCATTGGCTTTGGGGAGTAATTTAAAATCTGTTAGTCAACTTTATTAATCTCAGTGGAAATTTCAAACCCATGTCTTGTCATTAGTCCTCCTTAAATACAAGAATTAATAAAACACTAATAAACAAAAAAGAAATTAAATTATTTGCTGTCTTGGCCTGTCCTGTAGGAAGAATACAGCCCTGAGACTGTTGGTTTTTTTTCTAAGATTGGCAATGCAGAGATTCTGTGGGGCTGAGTGTACTTAGTGTACACAGAGATAATTTAATCAGTTGCTGAAGAAGTGAAAGTATTTCCTTGCTTCATTTCTGTTGGTCTATCTGCATATAGACCTATTTTTATGTCCTCTGATATTTCTCCTCTGTAGAGATACTAATCAGAAAATTAGTCCTGAAAGTGTTCACTTTTGTTATCTCTTTTGTCTCTTGATAAATACGTGGTTTTGTTCATGTTTCTTAATCTGATCCTCTCAGTGAATAAGAATAGAATGACCTTGTTTTCTTTCTGATAACCTTTCCTGAAAGCACCTGTTTTCCCACTGATTTTTTTCTTCTATCTACATCATACCTACTGGACTTCAGATCTTTTTTTCTTTTAGTAATTCTTCTTCATTTGATCGCACATTTTAGTTTCCCACATTTTTGTCATCCTTCTGTGACTAATTCTTCTAATTAGAACCAGGTTTTGCTAACTTAGTAAAGATTCCAGAAAGAGAAAAAGGACTTTTGGCATCAAAAAAAGGGTGTAAAACAATTCTCTAACTGCCACCCTCCATTATTAGAACCGTTTTAGGAAAGCTGTGCTGAGAGCCCTTGAATTTATATTTTGCCCCCTTGCAAATATGAACTCTTTTCCAAGTTCATACTGCATGATTAGGAATCTGTCAAAGGAGAGTAGAGAATTTACTGACATAGTAGGTGGTCTTGTGCAAATAAAATAACTGCAAATTTTTGTCTGTGTTTGTCCTTCATTACTTGTACAAAGGATACTGTATCAGTTAGCATCCCCAAATAAATCTATTTGCTTTATCAAAAGATGTGGAGGAATGCCAGGGAAAAGATTAGAGGAGTTCCCTGTAGGAGGTACTTTGCATGCTGATGCATCTTCCTCTTTGTAGTTTATTTGATTTGCCATTGCTTTATCATTTGTCATCCTCAGGAGGAAGACTTGCACACAACTTTGTAAGAGACTTGGCTAAGTGCCAGTAACTCCCAAATTTCCTGTGATACAGTTCCATTTTCAGAGGACAACACAGCAACTGCAGCTTCTACCCAGCTCCTGAGCTGCCCTGTGTCCCATCAGAGAGCTGTGGCTGCTCAGCCAGAATGCAGATCCATGGCATTTATCAGCCTGGGCTGGGAGTTTGAACCAATTCCTCGCTGCTCTGTAGCTAATTGCCCTCTCCTCCATTCTCTGTTTTGTCTATCAGGTATCAACAGACACATTAATGATAAGCTAAATGTCACCAGGCTCTATGCAGAAGGAGCAATCATTACAGACATGGATCACAGGCACTGAGTTATGTTACTTAAACGATGTGGTTTTCTCACTCCTGTTAAAATCTCTCCTACTTCAATAAATTGCCCTGGCTCACAGGCAAGAGTAGAGAAATACCCTCAGTATATCAAATTATTTGTCAATTTGTCTAGTATTGGAACTCTAAACCTGCTTGAAGAGTAGGTTGATGAGATGATGAGAGATCCACTGAAGCACACTGAGTGTGAGGAAAAGAAATGAGTGTTGTGTTCTGATGCCGTGTTCACTCATCACATCAGGAGATTTACTCATGCTTATCTTTGAAAGATTTAACACAAAGAAAGATTTAGCCCATTTGCAATCTGAAAAGCTACCTGACCTTTCAGAGACCTTTTGTATGCACTGAATTCATGCAGTGAATCATTGGGTACACCAGCAACCTGCAATGCTTCCAGGTTTCTCTTTGGGCTGCAGATATGAGGATGTGGAGATGAGATACTCAGAGCCTTGACAAAGCTGCCTCCCCTTCTGACAGTCTTGTAGATGATGTTGGTTTCTGCTTAGTTTCTGTTTGTGGCCCACAGAAATAAAAAACCAATTGTTTCCACTGTACAGGAAGATAGAAATTGTGTGAGTACTATTTTTTAGATGTTGATGCTCCATTAGTGTTTCAAACCTTGGAATTGTGCTGGTATGGTCACACTAGGAGCTGTGGACAGAGGTTACAGTATTGCTCAGCCTCTGAGCTCTCCTCTGCAGAGCCTGGGTGGGAACACAAGCACATTAGAGTCGATCAGTTCCTGACTAATGTTTCCTTTTGCTTGCCTTTCTAGACTGACACAGAAATGGAATTCATTAAAACCAAACTTTTGTTAGCTGCAAAGACCCGGAGGAATATGCATCAATCTCTGTAAAGAAAGTGCCATCTGCAGCCTATCTTAGGCAAATTGTTTCCTGATAATTAAGGTTGTAAATAAGCCTTTTATTTTCCCCTGAAATACGCAGCAGGGAAGGTCAGAACTGACGGAATTTTGGATGTTTCCGGGGTTAACTTTTTCTCAGCTGGAGTTAAAGCTAACATTTCACAGTCATGTAGGACAAACTGAACAATATGCTTGGGAGAGATGCCTAAACATCAAAGGGTAGCACTATTTTATGAGTATAGGTGCTCAAACAACAGAGTTTTAAAAATTTTACTTTTACAAGTAATCCCATTGTATTATAGGTTCTTAGCTGCTTTTTATTAACCACAATTACCACAGGGTAGTTTACCTAAGAAAAAATCGTTGCCAGTGAACAGAGTGCCAGCCCTTCATTTAATCTCTGAGGAAATAACACCTGCAACCTCAGCCAGGCCTGCTGTGCTTCCCTGCTGGACTGCTTGTTCTGCTCAGTGTAACTTCAAGGTCACATTTTACACCTAAAAGGCTGTCAATGAATAATGATTCCCTAATATCAAGCAGAAAATGAGACTCTCAGATATCCTCAGAGCCCAGAAATGTGCCTGGCACCTAGATACATTGTTCTAAATACTCTGGATTTCTCTGACCTCTTCTAGCTCAAACAGAGGATCATGGGCATCATCTGGGGAAGCTTCCTTACTCAGAGCTGTGAGGATCTGTCTGTAACCAGCGTGTTCCACATCTTTGTGATCAGTTGTTTTGCTTAGCTTAATTCTGAAGTCAGAGGAGCAAATAAAGGGAGAGCAGACCCGAGCTGCGATGAACTTTGAACTTACTCAAGTGTGAAGCTGATTAGCTACAATAGAGAGAGCCAACACCACGGTCTAAACAGCCTGAAATTCAGCCCAGTGAGCTCCTGGATGCAGATCTTGTGTTCACATGCATCTTTACCTGTATCCATGTGAGAGATGGAAGCAGATTCAAGTTTTGTCCTTCCCAGAAACACGGGTCTGTTTGTCCATTGAGTAATGCTGCTGAGTTGAGAGATGACACAGAGGGTGTCCCAGATCCTGGACTCCTGGGTTTTCCCCAGTTGCCAGGTCACTCCTCACAGATAATTGCTTACCATCGTCAACTAAAAGAACTGCATCTTCCATGACTAGATTTACAGGTACAACCACTTAAAAAAAAAAAAAAAAAAAAAAAGGTATTCACCCCCAGTGAGGTAAATATGCGGGTTTATTGCAGCCAAGCCACTCCTTTCCGTGTCATTCCTTCTCAGATATCTGCTCGTGGATGTTAAAACCCCGAGCACCTTTGGCAGGGACACTGAACTCTGAAATCTGCAGCACCTGTAACAGAGGAGCACTCTTGGGGAAAGAGCTGTCCAAGGAAAAGCAGCAGCTTCTTGTGTCCCGCTGGAGACAAGTGAATCTGAAGTTATATATTATATAAGACGTAGGTGATGACAGCAGTTTATCATTAACCTGAGCTCTGCAAGAAGCACATAAGGAGAGAAAGAAGAAGAAAGGCAGAGAGGCAGCCAGGATGGAATCCATCATAAGGATCAACAATCCTGCAGACATCTCTGTTATTGTCATCTACTTCGTGTTAGTTTTGGCAGTGGGACTATGGGTATGTTGGGATTTTATTTTGTTTTACTTAATGAGCAGGTATATTATAGAGTCTTGGCAAAATGTTTTAGTAAGTGAGAATGTGTAATTATAAAAAGATTTTGATGCTTAATTGAAATAGTTAACAAGTGCATGGTGGGCAAAATGTGGGCACTTATTTGCATTAGAGGGGATGGTGACCTAGGGAGGCATCCTTTCGGGTGGATGAATGGAAGCAGAGGGGAAGGTGGAGTGATGGGGTTTGTGTGGGACGGGCTGAGAGAAGGGACCGGTGAAGATCAGCCAGGGCCCCTCTTAGAAACAGGCTGGACCTGGGGGATTTGGCCACGGAGCACCGGGGCTGCAGGGAGAGCTGGGGATGTGAGGTGATGCCACAGGAAAGAGTGGGGAGCTGCAGGGCTGGGGAGGGACGGGGTGGCGGTGTGGCTGTACCGCTGCCGGGACTGGCACGGGGACAGGGACAGGGACAGGGACAGGGACAGGGACAGGGACAGGGACAGCCGAGGCCGTAGGGCAGCACTGCCGGCTGTTCTCTGGCCATGGGGCTGAGCAGGAGCAGCTCCGGGGCAGCGCCTCTGTGCTGGGGACAGCCTCTCTGCCAGGACAGCCCCAGCCCAAAGGGCTGTGCCCACAGGGACACAAACACCGCAGCCAGGGGACAAAGGAGAGGCCAGCCCAGCGCTGGGACCTCCGAGCTGAAGCGTTTGGAGAATGGGCCGATACACTCAGCTACAAGGGGCAATGTCACTGAATTCGGGTTTCCCTGGGGCAAGCCCTCCGGTCACCTGAACACCTGACCATTAACACACAGAGGGCAGGGATTGCCCTCCGGAATCCGCTGCTTTCCAGGAGCAGCGCAGTGCAGAAAAGTCAGCAGAGCAAACATCCCTTCCTAACAGCCTGGCAATATTTTGAAGGGCATCAAAAATGCAGGGTTTGCACAAAGTGGACACAACTTTTTCTTTGCCTCTTCAGCATAGGAGGCCAAAAATACAGCCAAAAATCTGAAGGCTCAGCCCACCAGAACACCTTGTTGTCTGGCAGGAGGGAGATGGATCCTGCCGTGGGAGCCTGGCTGTTGCTGTAGTTGAACTTTACGTTAAAGATCTCTGACAATAAAGGGCTGATCTCTGGTTTCTCAGGCCATTGTGTGCTGAGTTAATTCCTGGAGCTCTTTCCTTCCACCCATGATGACATTGCTATTGGACAAATACTTGTTCAGTTGCTGTGTGGAGTTAAATGTAAATCTATCATATTTACTTCCTTTCTTCTGTATCTGAAGAAAATATGTTGCTAATTTTTCCAGGTCTTCTTCGCTTATTTACCTGTTCAAAGTCCATCAGAGTAGACAATGGAAATCCAGTAAATAATGGCTCAGGGCCATGAACAAAAATTGGAGGAAACTTCCCTCTAAAGCCCATCCCTTCACAAAGTCAACATGAGTTTGTGAAAAGGAAATATTAGCTGTCTTCTTGTTTTGGAACTTCAGAGGGAATCAGGCACAATGCTGATATCACAACAAGAAAACAGATATCTGTTGGGGCAGCATAGTATTGAGTAAAAAAGCTGCATACCTTCTGTTAATTAACTTGCACCTTCTAGTCTGTTTTGATGTCTCAAATCAAAGGCTTTTCTCCCCAGTGAAAAATACACGGGAGCTTTTACTTGAGCAATATTTTTTCTTGGTTAAATTTAATTTTATTTAATGATGTTTTGCACTCTAATGAAAGGTGAAGAAATGAAATTTGAATGGCTAATACAAACCTAGATTAAAAAAATCATTGCTCCATTATATTACTTTCTTCATTATAAGGTTTTTCTTTTTAGCCACTCTGTTTCTTTCACTTTACCCTGCCCATGTGTTTATTATCCCTTCATTCTAGCTGTTTGGTCTCAGTCTGTGAATAGCTTGCCTAGCACACTTGAAATACAATTAAAACTTTGTTTTTTCCTTTTTTTCCAGGCTATGTACTCCACCAACCGAGGCACAGTGGGAGGGTTTTTCCTGGCTGGAAGGAGCATGGTGTGGTGGCCGGTGAGTGCTGTGTGTGTAGAAAACACAGGATGTCATCTGCACCCCTGGCACTGTCCAGTCCTTACACATCGAGATCCCTGTGACATTGCTGAGGTTGGGATGGCTTTGCTGTGTGGCTGCAAATCAAACTCCTCCTCCAGCCATGGTGTCACAGGGCAGACTGCACAAACAAAGCCATGGGATGGGCAGAGAAAAGTGTTGGGGGAAGTTGTCTGTGTTCAGCTCTGAGCTGTCTTGATTATGTGAGCAACTTGTTTGAATAGAAATGCATTGCTAATGTCAGTACAGACAAATCCAGTGCTTTGCCTTTTATCCCACTTTAAAACTTTTCAATATTTGGACTCTATTATTTTCATTGCACTAAAAGAAGCTGGCTCATTTTTACCACAGACAGGAATTAATTTACTGAAATTTCCCCCTTTTATTGCTCTATTGTTTCTACTTTTGGTAACAGGTTCTGGTCTTGTACAAGGAGAAAAATTCTTGGAAATGTTCTGATATGTTATTGGTAAAATATCTTTTAAATGTACTTCAACATTAGCTGTGGCTTACATTGATTGTCTTCTGTGGATGTCTATTATCTTCCAAGGTAGAGAACAGGAGTCATAGGTACAAAGTGTTCTTAGCCTTCCATTCCATCAGGCCTTTGGCAGAAATTATATTAGAAACAATTCTCTATTTCTTCCTGATCATACAGTCTCTTTGATATGAAAAACAGAAACCTCAGACAAACCTGCATTTTCTCTATTACTGGAATACTGGAAAATGGGGTAGTTTTCACATTATTCTGTTTATTTCAATGGAATTCCTCAACACCCCTGATCTTGCATTCAGTCTCAGAAAATGTTTCTGCACTTCATGAAAGTTTGGGAGTCAAGACTCCACACACATTGATTCAGTTACAGGACCAGAAGACTGAGAGTAAATATTGGTTCCCTAAAGATTTAGGAATTTTCTTGAAGTAGGCTGCAGAAATACCTACACACCTTTCAGTCTTGTGCTTCAGGGAGCTGCTCTCTGCCTTTAGGAGGCATTGGGACAGCCTCTTTAAGGACATGAAAGGATTAAAGGCCAATGACAGTAAAAGGTTTCTTCATCTGATGTAGCAGGTCTAAGAAAATTCAGGTTTCTTTGGAAGATTGAGGAAAGGGAAAATTTCCAAGTTGTTTTAAGATAAAACCCATCATTCTGGGAGAAGAGAAAAAAACCCAAACCAGATTACTCTGCTTAACTGTCACTTTAATCAGTGAGCTGGTCTGAACCTTGTGCAATTCTGTCTGCCTGCCAAGGGGATATGAATATCCTTTTGTGCAGATGTAAATGGAGATGAAGGCAGCAAGGCAGCCAAGACTCACCATAGAAAAGTTCTGTCTTGATCCAGGGGTGCTGAGAACTCCCAATGATTCCCCTGAGACTTGGGGGAGAGGATCTGACACTGAGTCTCTGCAAACACAAACCCAAGACTCAGCAAGCTCCCCTCCTCCAGTGGGAGGCCAACAGGGATCACCCCACAGTTCCTGCCAGAATTCCCTCTCTCCTTCCCAGACTCTGTGAGCTGAGGTGGACAAAGTGCTAGTCCTCAGTGCAGTCCTAGATCTCCTCCTCAATCCTTCCCTTTGGAATGCCAGGAGTGTCTTCCCATGCCATAAAAATAAACCTTTCTTGCTATTCTTCCTCGTATCACTCAAAATAAACAAAGAGCAAGCACTCCAAAACCACAAACTAAATACCATGTCAGCAGCATCACCTTGGAAAGTTTGCCTTGGATAAAAAGAGATTCCAAAACACCAATTCCCACAGCTTAGCAGGTAGATGGGATGTCCATCACCCAGAACAAACTGGGCTGAAATGATGAGGAAATCAATGAAAGTATAGAAAGTTTAGTCAGAGATGTGATCTCAGTTCTGCAACAGCTAAAGCTGTGTGTGATGTTTTACTTCTGTGCTTTGACTTCTCTTTTCTGCCAAGTCAGGGCTAACCTGGAATAGTTCTGGATAGCCCCAGTGCATTTGCACAGCCAGGGTGGGGGCAGTTGTTTTGCAAGTGGACTCTTGTTTGTCAGATTTCTCCCCTGCCATTTCAGGATAATGACCCTTGTCATGTAATTGGTTTCTGGAACAGAACAAAATGAAGGAAAAAAATCCTTCCACAAACTTGCTATAAACTTAATTCCCCTAAACTAATTGTATTTTTCAGTGGTTGTCTGTATTCCATGCTCTGCAGGGCACCCACGAGTGGCTTTTCTGACCCTACAGGGAAGGAGGCTCATTAGCAGTGTATTAGGATCTCTTACTGACAATCTGGGCAGGGATTCTGTTCACTTAAACCATAAAATATCTGTGCTTTGGTAGACTAGAGGAGACCCTGGTAATGCAGGCCTAGAGGTTATTCCTACTTTTCATATGGATTTTGAATGTTTCCAGTCACTGGCAAACTGTGATTGTGATTCAATTTCTCAATGCACAAAGTAGCACCAAGACACATCCTGGGCTAAATCTGACCTGCTGTGGCTCTAATTGTTCTGCTTCAGCAGAATCCAAAAATGTTGTTCAGCATTTTGCAGAACCAAGCCCAGAGATATTTTTCTGGCTGAGGTGAGAGTTCACTTCACTGGAATCACTGCCCTTGTGCAGTGGCTGAGCCATCTCAGTAGTTCCAATGGTTAATTAGGGATAAAGGACTGAAATCTGTCGTTGGTTAGTCATAATGGTATGGAATGCAGTGCCCTTTCCACAGTCTTTATAGAAACTGAGAGAAGAATCTTCAAGAAATTGGTTTTGGTCTCGTGGGCTTTGAGGGAAAGACTCATATGGCTCTTTAAATCCTCATCATCAGCTCTGCTTTTCCCAAAAAGACACAGAGAAGCTCAAGGCAAGTGAGGGCTCTGTAGCAATGGGCCTTGCCAACTTTAGCTTCCTTTGCCAGATGAAGGAGTTGGGTTCAGCCAAATACTTCCTGCCATTGTAGGACATGAAGTATCTGTTCCTGCAGAACAGTCAGCTTTAGGAGCAGCCACTCTCACAGGATTAACAGCCCTTCATGCACAATTTTAAAAACCCAAACTTTTGAAGCTTTCCTGCTTTTGAATTTTCTTCTTCAGGTTCTGTAATTTTGCAGGCAGACAGAGCTGTCTGCACAAAATTATGGGTTACCTTCTACACCTCAGTTCCTGAGGCATGAATGGTAATAGGACAAAGAGTATCTGCTGGGCATCTGAAGGCCAGCTCTGTTAGAAAGATTTAGTGAACAGTAGGCAGGAAGGGTGCAGGGTCAAGGGCACTCCAAACAGAAATGTAACTCAGCTCGTTTGTCATGTACACTTGGTCATGTACATTTAGATCTTTGCGAGACAGATAAGAATTAGTGGAAAAAATCCAATAGATTCTTGTTTGAGCCGTGCACAGCTTATCTTTGTGGCCATCAGAACCGACCACTGGCATGATTTCTCTGATCTTTGCAGCCAGTTAAGTTTCACATAGTCTCAGGATTTCCCCCACTTGCTGAATCTGACACTGCTATGAGGAAGCAGGAACGACAATTCTGCTGTGAATAAGATTTGCATTTCTTTCTCTTAGGTAAAGTAGAATGAGAAACTACCTTATTTTGTTAAGTTCTATGCAAAAAAAATTACAGTGTTGAAACAATAGTTTTCAGGGTGAAAAGAATAATGAAGTAATCAAAGCAAAGCTCAGATAGAAAAGTAAAAGTTCAGTGAAATGCATTTCTACAGAATTTCCAGAGGGCCAGGAGGTGTTTCAGAGTGCAAAGTGGGGAGGTATCAGATCCTCCTGAGCCTGAGCTGTTCCAGCAGCCATTGGGTTTGTTGGAGCACTGACATTTTTGATGAGTATTGTACATCCATCCCTCCTGCTAAGTGCACTGGGAATTGTATGGATGTGGTAATAATGCAATTTATAGAATTTTCACATTAATTGGGAAAGAAGAATAAAACACCACACTTCCTTCTTCGTGTCTCAGAGCCTTGGAAGTGTGGCAGTAATATTGCATTGTACTGATTTTTCCAAAGTGTCTAAGGGTGATCCCAAAAACTCAGGTAGGAAAAATAATGCCTTTGCATCAGAGTGAAGTCACATGGAGCAGGGAAGAGCTGTGAGTTAAAGAAAAGCATGAACAGTCTCAAGGAATAGGAATGAGAAACGTGTCAGGGAAGAGGGATTTGAGAAGCAGCTTCTGCAGGAGCAATAGCTCAGGGGTGGCTCAGGGGTGGCTCAGGGATGGCTCAGGGATGGCTCAGGGATGGCTCAGGGGTGGCTCAGGGATGACTCAGGGATGGCTCAGGGGTGGCTCAGGGATGGCTCAGGGGTGGCTCAGGGATGGCTCAGGGATGGCTCAGGGGTGGCTCAGGGATGGCTCAGGGATGACTCAGGGATGGCTCAGGGGTGGCTCAGGGGTGGCTCAGGAGCCCGTGGGGTGAGAGGAGCCCCTGCTCTTCTCTGCAGTGGGGCTAAGGAAAGGGTTGGGTACTGAGCTAATGCCTTCAGGAGGGTGGGCACGGGGGCAGGGGGATGGACTGGCAGGTCCTGGCAGGGACAGGAGCCACAGGCTGTGCATTCTGCACTCTGTCACTGCATCCATCCAGCTGGGAATGGCCAGGGCTGGGATGTCACTGCATCCTCCACTGAATGAGAAGAGCAAGGTGAAACAGTTAATGAATAACAGGAAAAAACACAGTGATCATCATCTGTTTCAGGGTGGTGGTACTTCTGCTGAACAGAGTGCTCTTGTTAAGACCTGACCTCTTAAAATATTTTAAAAGAGTTAATGTTCCACGTTTTCCTCAGATTAGTTCAAGTTTTTCATCCTCTTTCCCTCTTAGCAGTTTTGTGCCTTTCAACCAACTTTCTTCACCTTTCCTCCTAGATGTGTCTTTAAAGTCAATTCACTCACACATTCACTGAGAACAGTTAACACTTCCAGAAGATTGTTTCCCTCTGCCATTCCCAGTTTCAGCCCAGAGTTTTTAAGATGTTCAGCAGCATCTAGCAATGGCAAATCAAGAATTCCAGTCATCAGCCTTTCCAGTACAGAAATCCCACAGCAGTAGGTTCTTCAGCAAGGCAGCTTGAGCCCAGAGCCCATCTGCCTCTTTCCTCATCCTTAAAATATGGCAGATGGGAAATTTCTCTTTCCCCTCTGGCATGAGCAGCCAATGGAGTGTGAGGCTGTTTGGTCAGCACTCTCCTTGCTGTGATCATGCTGCAGATTTGAGGGTATTCTGCATTTTCCTGGCTATGAAGCCATGTTCTCCCTTCCCAGGTATATGACATAACTGAAACCCATTTTTAAAATGGCATCCATTATTAGTATATGTTCATCTTAAAGTCCTGCTGCACTGGATATTCCCTAATTCAGAGAAAAAAGTTTAGGCTATGAGTGTGGGATCTGCATTCACATTGTTTTGTTCTTGTGATGGTCCTGAATATGTTGGTAGTTTTGCATTGGTTTGGTTTGGTTTTGTATTTTTCTTTCAATATAATGGCATTTTAGATAAATTTGAGAACAGAGCATCAGTAGCATTGCCTGCAGTATGTCCTGGGGATTCAGGCACCGAGCCAAAGCTTGTGCCTGTCTCTTCTCAAAGTTCCTCTTTTGCTGCTTCTGTTACTTGGATCTGCCTTTAAGCTTTTGAAATAGGAGAAGGAACACATTAAATAAAATTAGAGATTAATGTGGTTAATATTTTCTGGTGATTGTATTTCTAGTAACCTAGATTTAAGTTTAATTATTTATCTACAAGGAAAGCATTGGGCAACAGTGATAATGCTTGGTATAAATGGTACTTTTTTCTTCACTATCATTTCTGGAGACCTGTTGCAGTCACGAAGAGCTTAGAAGAAAGAGAGGCCTTTTGTTTGCCAGTGTTAGTTGCAAAACTTATCAGTTGTGTAGAAATGTCATATGACAAACTGGTTACAGTTCTGTAGGGCACAACTGACTTTTAGAAAAAACCCCAAATCCAGAAAGGAGTGAACTTAGAAACATAAATTTCCTGTCACAGCAAAAGAACAATTTGTCTTCAAAGAGATTAGAAGAAATCAGGAGATCAAACTGAGGAAGGAGAAAAAAACGTAAACCTGGAAAAGAAAGAGTGGAACCTTCTGAATTTTGTGTGTTGCAAATAAAAAATGGGGTAGGATAATCTATTTGTTATCAGATATCAGGATTGTGGGTTGAAGAATGTGGTTGCTATTTCTTGCTATGGCATAGCTCTATAGAATAAATCTGCTCTGCAGAGGGAGATTTCTATGAAATCCTTCATCCTCCCAAAACTCAGGTGATCATCCCTGTGCTCCCAGAAACATTGATTGAATATTTGCTGCCATCCCAATCAGTTAGACTCGATCCTTGTGGATCCCTAAGAACTCAGGATATGCCATCATTCAAGTGAGAGCATTAGAAGAGGTCAGCAGAAGTTCCCTTGCCTGCTTTCTATGTGGTTTTCTTTCTAATCCTGTTTTGGGGTTTTTGCGGTTTTTTTGGTTGGTTGGTTCTTTGGGTTTTTTTTTTAGCTTTCAGAAGATATAAGAAAAAAACAGAAAAGAATTAAAAAAATGTTCACTTGCTTTTTTTCATCTCGGAACTTCTCCAGCTTCCTTGTTCTCTGCCCACAATACTCAATCCAATCCAACCTCTTTTTCATGCTCGACTTCTCACCCTGCCTCCTTCAGCACCTGACCAGTAAATTATCACTGGGTATTTCTGCTGCCTTTAATGTGGTCATTGGAAGGAAATGAAGCTCATTCCTTTTCATCTCTTCTATTGTCTAAGATACTTGATTAAGGATTAAATCTTTGTTAATGGCTCCTGCCTGTCTGTAAATCAACAGGAACCTTTCATTTTTTAATCTCTCCCTGGAAATGAATTCCCATGTTCTCCCTACTGTTCTGATTATATGATCAGCATTGAAAGATCCAGCCCTTCTTAACTAGAACTCCTTGATTTGCCATTGCTTGTAGCTTCCAGAGGTGTTTTCTCAGCAGACATTTCTGCTATGCAGTTTTCAGAATTTAATTCAATAATCAATACCTTTTGGCTAAAAGTGAGCCAAGTCCAGCTCTCACCAATGACACTTTCAGATGCACAGGCTGTGCAATATGGATCAGGGAGTGCAGCTTTCACAAGTGGGGATGCCCTTGTCGTTTCCTCCTGTAACAAGGATGATCAGAGTCTTCTTCCCTGATTGTTTTGATATCATCCCGGTGTCAATTTGGCAAGCTTTGGCAAGTATTGGTGTAATATATTTTTTACTCAACTGGAAGATATTTTATTCAACATCCTATTCTCCTCACTATTGATGTGATGGTTGGAGGCTCTGGTTTCAGTGGGAGCAGTAAGTGTGAGTCCTGAAAATTATCAAGAAAGTTGATTGTCAGTCATTCTCATCATCACCACCACCACAGAGAGGCATGAGTTCAATGTGCCAAATGAGGAGATTTTTTAAAAATTCCCATGAACATAAGAGCCAATTTTTGTTTTCTCTTTTTGCAGATTGGTGCTTCTCTGTTTGCCAGCAACATTGGCAGTGGACACTTTGTGGGAATAGCAGGAACAGCAGCAGCTGGAGGAATTGCCATCGGAGGATTTGAGTGGAACGTAAGTGGAACATGTGTCAGTGAAAGTATTTGTGACATCTGCATTATCTGCAGGGCTTAATCAAAATAACATTGCCTACTAATTTAGGACTGTCAAAGTTTGTGCTTGGCAACACTTGTTTTCTGCACAGACCAGTAAGAGCCAATGTAATCTAGTATTTAACCTGTCCAAGCTACTGGAAAAAGATGATACTTTTCTATTGAGGCTTTTTACAGAGCACAGAACCAAATAAATTGGTGGATGTTCTTCCCTACACATATCTTTTTATTACTTTTAAAGTATTTATGAAAAACATTTTCAGACTGCAGGATGCCGGGAAAAAATAATCAGGTTTGTAATCCACAGTAATTTTTGCAGCATTTTGCTATGTAGAAATTCTTGGAGGGGCTTTGATTTCTCCACAGGCTGTAAGGAATTTTGAACATCCTTCACAAGCACCTGCACTCCAAAAATCTTGTCCTCTGTACCTTTTCTTTCCTGTAACTACGCACGTGTTTTGGTTCCAGTACAGGGTAGAGATCTCCAAGCTGACCTTAAATGAGCTTCCCGGAGGGGCAGGGTCAGTAAAGTGCAGCAGCACAGAGATTGCCGTGAGGGACTGCACAGCATTTCCTTGTGCTGTCAGCTCTGCGGGTGTGGCTGCCAATGCCGTGTGTAATTCACCCTCGGGAAGGGATTAGGCCGTGGCACCAAGGGTTGAATGAGCCTCCACAGGACGGGACTTCCCTCGTGTTTACTCCTGAGCGCTGAAATAATCGTCCCACCCCGAGGGATTTGGTTTGTGTTTCTTAGCAAGTAAATGGTTGTTGCAAATAATCCAGTACTGGTATGATGTAAATGTTTAAGGAAAAGGACAAAGCTTAAAATGCACTGTACAAGGTGTGCAGTTTACCTGTCAGCTCCCTCTTTTTGATTATATCAGGCCTGTGACAGACCTGATTCTCCTTCTTATTCCAGCAGAACGAAGCAAATCAAAAGAGAGCACAGATCTCTAGGGCCCATATCCTTCTTCAAACATCTCTACTCGTTATCTCCTGGGAGATTCCTGCTGGGCCAATATCAGTACCCAGGGTACAGCAGTGCTTGGTTGGGAAGCAGCAATGGTGTCTGTGGTGCTTGAGCAGACACACTGCAGAGTTCATGACTTACACAGGGACAGTTAACAGACATGATGAAAGTAATACCAAATTTGACTCTTGTCATCCTTGTTCCATTGAAATTATTTCTATTTGGTATCAGAATGACAGCAGAAGCTGACCCAGTATTTCTTGTCCATCTTACAGTCTTGACCTAAGGGCAGAACTTAGAAGGTACAGGTTAAAAGCCCTCTAAGCCCTGTGGACAAAATAAATAGAGTGCACCTCTGAGGGCAGGAATTTGTTTTATATTTGTTGATTTAAGTATGTACAACTTGATATTGGACAGCATTCCAGCCATTTAAGTCAGAAAACTTTGGCACTGCTATACAGTAAGATCAGTAGCTCACAGAATACACATGGGTACACAAAATATATTATTAAATTGTAATATGAAAATACAAAATATTTTACAAATTGCATGTGGTGCATCCTGTATAGGGTATGAAATAGTTGTAAAACATTCAGCCATCCTGGGCTTGCTCTGAAGAGAGCTGGGATAGGCTGGTGCCACTGCTGGAGTTGTGATTCAATACTAGAGGGCAATCCTGTGAGTAGAAATCAGCTGGTTTTGTAGAAAATACATAATAATGTGTTCTTTGGGACAGCTAGCATGAAACTCAGGCTGCATTATACCTGATGAAGTTTTTAGCCAAGTTTTCATGTCCAAATTTTCAACTGTAAATCTGAGGACAGAGCAGAGCCGCCTCCCCCCACACCCCTGCAGCACTCAGGTTTTTGTGATTTCCCTGGTCTCTGGCTCTGTTGGGTCTGATAAATGGTCTTTGGGAACAGTGTGTAGACACAGGAGGCTAACTCAGCTGATCTTGTCTTGGCTGCAGGCTCTGATATTTGTGGTGATTCTAGGATGGCTCTTTGTGCCCATCTACGTCAAAGCTGGGGTAAGTCAAACCACTACATTACACTTGTGTGCTGCTCATGTTTGCAGGCCAGGGCTGGAATATTGCAAAGTCACTATGAATGGCACGAGATCCAAGTGTGCCAGAGCAGCACTTTGTTATATCTGTGTACTTGAAAAATGAGGATTCTCTGTTCTAAGAGCTGAGCTGAGAAGTACTTGCTGCTCTCTCCTTGTTCTCCTTTGATTCCTGGAGCTGCTCTTCCTTGAAACTGCAATTGCAGCTCCCCTAATTTTGTGCTCCACTCTCACAGTATCTGAGTACCAAAAATCTTCCTCTAATTTGATTTGTACCTGTTTCCCATTATCTAAAACCTTTTCCACCTCCACAGGTGGTGACAATGCCAGAGTACCTGAAGAAGCGTTTTGGTGGGAAACGGATCCAGGTCTACCTGTCAGTCCTTTCCCTGATCCTGTATATTTTCACAAAGATCTCAGTAAGTGAAACTTCTACAGCATTTCTTCCATTCTACACTGATCTAATCTTTTACAATATTGCTTTCACAACTGGTCAACCATTTTTGGTTTGGAGCACTTGGCTGAATTAACAACTGTAAAAGTATGATTTTGTGTTTTCTTTATTCTGTCCTGTGAGACTCTGTGATGCAATCCAAGGTTTTTTTCTTCCTGGCATTGTCTCTTGATGCTTGTTGTGCTTTGTCTTTTTAAAGTTTTAGGGCTTACTTTTACATTTGCTCTCTTCTAGAAAACATCAGAATGGAGGGAAACTTGTATTGCATTGTGGTCTGTTATTTTAGGGATCTGTGAAACCTGGGTCATTTTTGTCCCTAGATTTCTTATTTAGCATCCTCTGGTGAGCATGCTATCAGTAATATAGGTGAGGGAAAAGGGCGGGGGGACTATGGATAAAAAAAAAATAACAGGAATTAGAAAATGGGAGAGTGGGGAAATGGAAATTAGGGAAATTGTAGCAGCTGAGGTGAAAGGAGGGAAGAGGAGAGATTCTTTTAATGGGCAAGTGATTGGTGTAAACTTTAAGGTGCTATGAAGTTAATGTTTATTAAGTAAATGGATGTGTTACTGTGGCATAGTAAAGGGAACTGGTATTTTCCATATATTTTGAAAGTACTAAGCTTCTAAAGAAGTCCACAGTTCAGGAATACCTCAGTCTGTTGTTTTGCAGAAGTTGTCATGGCAGATTAGTCTTTGCCCTCTGAATGGGAACTGAGTGATAATAGTGCAATTTAAGCTAAAAGATTGGCCTTTTGCTCTCATTCTCACATCATAACTGATCCTTAGAGAGGTTATAAATTAAACAGGTTGGTAGCATGAGCTGGCCTCAGAGCTGGATTTCTGTATATTTCAAAAGGATTAGAGAGTTTGCTGTAGTTGTGCTCAACTATCATAGTCAGAACTCCTGGGTACAACACAGAGTTCTGGACATTCCAGCAGCAGAGAACCCCCTCCAGTCAGTCCTTTTCAGCCACACATGCTGGTAGTGAGCCTATCAAGATGCTCCTAGGTTCTGAATTAACTATCCAGCTTTGATTTCCAGCCTGTGTCATGCCTAAGGGTGTTATTATGGGATTTTTCATTGTTTCAGTTGGAGTGTTCTGTTTTCAGGAAAAACAGGTTCTTCATTTAAGCTTCCAGTGTGATCACGAGGGTCAAACACCCTCTCCATAGTCAAGGGATCCATACAGCACCAGGCTACCTGAGCCCCATTCTACCATCAACCCATCCCAGCTTCCCATCAACCCATTTATTCCAGGTGTTTGTGGGGAGTGCCAGGGAGCTGAGTCTCTGTGCTATGCAGGGGGAAAATATGGTGTTCAGTTTCCTCTAAGCATTTCTTTTGTTTGCCCCAGTTGCTCTGAGCAGCTCTGGCAGTGTCTGTGCCTGTACAAGAGAGGTTTCTGTAGTGTACAAACAGGTCTCTGCACTGCTGCCTCATGTCACTGCATTTGGATGGGCAGGATCTGCCCAGGACTGATTTGCTTGTTCTGTCTGGTTCAGATTAGGCAGAGCAGCCAGTCCTTGGAGGTTTCAGGTGCTCTCAGAGGGTCTCAGAGTAAGTTTTGCTCTGTCATGCTGTGCAACACCACGTCCACATGGTGGCCAGAGCGGGGAGGGAAGGGCTGTTCCCTGTAGGGAACTTTGCTGTGGGGAGAGGTGCAAGCACAGGGAGGGGGCACAGGCCTCCCTCCCCACAGACACGCTGGATATCCAAACACATCAACGTGTTGACAAGCCCTTGTATTTTGATTCCCTCAGTGCTGCCTTGGCAAACACTCCTTTGTGATCTCTGGGGCTCTTTGAGATCTGATAGAGGGATGGGCTCCTGCCCTGCCCTGGATGGGAGGCCACACCCACCAGCGATCCTCACTGCCCCTTATCCTTGCAGAAGAGTGGCATCTCTTGCTCCTGGGGTAGTTATTTCATGTGCCTCTTCCTTGCTGTGTTGAAATACTATGTAGTGTTCTTAATAATATAATTACAACAATGCTTTCTAGGGAGTAATATCTCATATCAGGTTGTGTGACTCGTCCCTTTGCACACCTCTACAATGGCCTTACCCTTTCTCTTTCCCTGCACATTTTCTGTGGGTTTTGTTGATTTATTTCCTTGCTTTGTGGCTAATCAGCCACTTGACACAGAAGGACATGCTGCAAGGAGTTCATCCTTGGGATCAGGACACATGATTTTTGAGCCCAAAGGATTTGTGTCATACAGGGACTTCACCTGTACCTGCTCCCTAACTGTGCAGCACATTGTGAGTAGTGCCCATAGCAGTTTGAAGAGGCCTTTTAGCCACTAGTGTTGATGATATTGGCCATTATGCTAAAGGAAATGGTCTGGTAAAAATAAAGTCTTGATGGATAGTAATAGACTGAGTTAATACAAGACAAAAGGGAGTTAAGGTCTGAATGATTTGAAGAAATCAGAAATCATAAACTGGAATGTCTAAATCTCTTAGAGCATTTCTGTTCATTGTACATAATTTCAGTAGGAAATCTATGGGTGTAGGCTTGCCAGGGGCAAGATGAAGAGAAGAATAACCTTCTGCTAGGAGAGCACAGTGGGTTAAAGAGGAGATGTCCCTGCTCTGGGACTCTCAGGATACACAGCTGGCATGTGTCTGGCCAGCTCCTTTGTGATCCCTGCCTTTGCAGAGACAGCCTGTAGTGTAAAGGAAAGAGTGACTCTAATAAGAGATTAGATAACGATTGTCTATAAACCAGTATCAGTGGAGAAACAAGGAAATAATTGGAAGGCAATAATCTTACTGGGAAGGAAAAGCAGTGAAGCTGGAAGATAACTCAGCAATTTGAAGAGGCTGATACATTGCTCAGAATGCTCAATAATTAACTATACATTTATTCGTGGGAATGATTTTAGGTCCCTTAATATTTAATGCTACATAGGCTAAACTAAAGCCAAGAACAATAAAAGCAGGGTCTGGCACATGGACTGATTAGTGGTGTGAAAAGACAGGAAACTAATCACCACAGAGAGATGGGGCAAAGGATGTGGTCTGACAGTGGGGTAGGAGCTAAAGGCGCTGGTTCCCGTTTCCAAACTGAAGGCTGTAAGAAATCTGCTCCACAGGCAGAGCTCTGCGAGTGGGGCCTGTGCTGTGACTCACTGCTCCACAGAAGCAGCCGCCTGCACTGGGGCTGCAGAGCCCCAGCCTCGTCCTTCAGCAGGAGCCAGGGCGAGGTCCTGCCCTGCAGCCTCATTGCAGTCTCGGGATTGAAGATGGGTTTTCTCCATGGCTCCGTGCTGCCCGGGCAGAGCCGGGCTGGGCTGGGATCCCCGGCTCTGGCCGGCCCCGGAGCCCCCCAGGGCTGGGCTGGGAGGCTTTAGCCCAGGGCTCGGCCAGAGCTGAGTGTCTCTGCTGAGTTCTCTCGGGAACCCCACGGGGACTTGCTGTCAGCTGAGGATGCGAGTCCCTGTGCAGAGCCCTCGGATGGGGGGTGTGGGTGCAAAGGGAGGAGGGCAGCCGAGCTGCAGAGGAGCCCATGAGCTGCATGCTCGGGAGTAACCTCTAATGAAAACATAATTTACAGAAAGGCATCGCAAGTGCACCGGGGCAGATTATTCTGATTGCAAACTTGTATAAATAACATTGATGCCAATTACCTCTAAATCAGGAACTGATTTAATGGGATTAACTCCCAGTGCTACTCTGAAACCTGAACAATTCCTTCCTTATGCAAGAGCTGAAGGTTTCCTCTCTTAGTCAACTGCTAATTCTTCTGACAGGAACTTAAAAATAGAAACCATACAAAATGTTTGCCTTTAATGCAAATTCACTGTTTGTCCGAAACCAGCGAGACGAGCTACACCACATGTGAACAGTAAAGGGAAAGAGATTTGTGGGGTGGCATTGAAGGAAGAGAAGTGTCATGTCTTGGAGGTGTCACACAGTCCAGCCCTGCACACAGCAGCAAATGAACTCACACTCAGTTTTAAGCAGTTTGTTTTGAATATCTCTCTTAGTGCCTAAGTACTGAGTAGTGAGGTGACTGTCTAGAGAAAACAACCCTGTTAAAAAAGGCCTGGAAATTCTCTGAGAAGTGTTACACTTCTAGTACTAAGAACTCCACACCTCTGAGGGGACACTGGCAGGTGCACAAAAATGGCTTCTCTTTTCTTTTTGATTTGTGTGTGCAGTGCTACAAGGGGCAGAGTTGTGTATTTCAGTGTCCTCATCATGGAACTATTACATGTCATCATGAACCTAAACATTGCTGAATCTATCTTTTTTGGTTTTGTTTTGGTTTTTTTTTGTCTAGGCTGATATATTCTCTGGAGCTGTATTTATCCAGCTGGCCATAGGACTGAATCTTTATGTGGCCATAATTATCCTGCTTGCTATTACTGCTCTTTACACTATCACAGGTGAGTTTGCAGAGAAGTCTGATAAATCAGAGATGCCAGGGGAGCCAGAAGAAAGAGAAGAGAGAAGTCGAGAAAAGGGCAGAAATGAAAACATGAAATGGGGATTATTTACAGTGGTCTTTGAAAGACAGAGGTTGTGAGAAAAGGGACACAAAGAAAAAATTATTTCCACCCACACATTTGCCCAGGGCTAACTTATTTGTCCTGACTTTCCTCTGCCATCAGGTGGCCTTGCAGCTGTGATTTACACAGACACCTTACAAACGTTCATCATGGTAGTGGGATCCATTATTCTCACGGGATTTGGTAAGTAAATCAGATGAATTAAACTGGAATGTTCAACCACAGATCTTGCAGTGGCTATGGGAATGAATCCTGCAGTGTAAAACTGTTACATTAAAGCAGGAGGTTTCAGCTCTTGTATGTATTTATCAGGGAAGAAAACAGGCATGTTGCCAAAAGTCAGGCATATTGCCAAAGCCCTTTAGTCACTGTGTCACTCTGTCTCCTCAGCACAAGTGAATGTGTAAGGTAATAAACAGCATCCCATGACAGGACTTCTATGTCCACATTAAGGAGGTTTTTCTCTTCACGCTCTCAAGCTCCGTTTGAGATTTCAGTGAGAAATCCCTTATTGCTGCTTTTCTTTTCCATGTTTCAGCATTTACTAAGGTAGGAGGGTATGAGGCTTTCATGCAGAAATACATGGAAGCCATTCCATCCAACACCACCTATGGGGACACCCAGGTGGATCCCAAGTGCTACACCCCTCGCAGCGACGCCTTCCACATCTTCCGAGACCCCACGGGGGACCTGCCTTGGCCAGGGCTCGTCTTTGGCCTGAGCATCATTGCCTTGTGGTACTGGTGCACTGATCAGGTAAGGGGGGAGCCCAGTGCCTTGCAAAGGCCAAACACAGAATTCCATGCTCCAGGGTGATCTTCCCCTGTAATGCAAAGCTGAACATAGCTGAAATAACAGAACTGGCTGTAATTTCAAGGCTGCTCAGTGACTTTTCAGTTCCTGGTTTCTAGACACCTCTCACATGTAAGAAAATAGAACGAGTGGTTTTTTTTTAATCTTCCTTCAGGTGTCTGCCCAGCAGATCCCATGTCTGCTTCCTTTCTCTTTTTTTTGTCTGTGACCATGTATAAAAACATAGAGAGGCTGTGCTGTGCATAGGAAACCATGCAACAAATGACCCTTGTTAGACTGAGTCTAGATACCATTCCCTTTTCAGTAAGACAAGTTTGTTTCTTATATATGCAGCTTTCATCTTTGCTTGCATAGTCTTGGGGGGATTTTCTTTATGTCTGGTCTTTCAGCTGGGAGACACTTCTCCCATCATCCTTCCTTCTGTCTAAAACCTACCGTCCAGTTTCCCCAAGAGACCACACTGACATGAGTAAAGAAAAGTGTGCTCTTACACCAACAACATGTGAATGTGTCTCTAACAAATGATCTATCTGCATCTTGAATTGTGAGAAAGATCATCTTCATGATTTCTCAACAAATTAACAAAACCCCCAATGTAATTGTATTTACTGTTCAGTCAAATATTCTATTCCTTTTTGGCTTTTTAGTCAGTCTGCTTTAAAAACTTTTTGTGAGAGAAGTCTTACCTCTCAAACACACACTGGATAAGTAGTATTTTCCATTACTTATTTCCAACATATCCTTTGATTTTCATGTAGTTTTCTTTTTTCCTAGCAGCAGAAATGCTAAATAGGCTCTTTTGCTATCACAGAAGTCAAGAAGTACCTTGTATCTGGAATATGGCACGAGGTGATCATGGAAATGTTACAGCTGCCATGTGTCATTGACAGGTTATTGTCCAAAGATGCCTCTCTGGAAAGAACATGTCCCATGTGAAGGCTGGCTGTATCCTGTGTGGGTACCTCAAACTCTTGCCCATGTTTATCATAGTGATGCCTGGAATGATCAGCCGGATTTTGTACCCAGGTATGATATGGATACAGAAATGAAAAGTTCTTGCTGCCTGCCTTTCATTGCCAATCTCTCTGTCCCTTCCAAAATACCTGCTAGATTGTCATCTTCTCATCCAAATAGTCTAAGGACCTTCAGTTAAGTGCATTGTAAGAAGCCACAGGCCTTCCTGCTCACCCTGATCCCAGGTTTCTGCTAATACTATTGCTGTTAGTTTTAGGCAAAAGAAATTCCAGAGCATCCCTCCCCAGCTGTCTGTTTGTTAGAGCCTCACTCTGACTGAATGAGTGGAAAATGTTGTCCAGGACAGATACTCTGCTGACAATTGGAGGGACAGGGCCATCACTCACAGACTGCAGGGTTTGGGCCATGGGCAGTCCCATGGGCATGGGGAAATGCCACATTCCCTGACCAGCAGAGTTTGGCTGTGTTGGCAGCAGGTAGAGGAGCAAGGAGTGGGCTTTGTGTTCCTCTGCTTTTCTACTTGGTCTCCTTGTGTTGTTCAGCCCTGGTCTGACAAATGAGTGCTGATTTTCTTTTGACCTGCAGTCCCTGTCAGTATTTTTTTAGAGAGGAAGGGAAGAGGTTTAGAATCACCTTCCTTCCTGCCAGCAAACCAAGGATGAAATCAAACGTGTCAATCCAGTGGCTCAACACAGAGATACATTCTAGAAGCTCTATTAATTTGGGAGCAATCTGTTGTTTATATGACCTTGTCTCAGAGTCTCATTATCCTCTCCTCAGATGTGGTGGCTTGTGTTGTGCCTGAAATCTGTCAGCGTTACTGTGGTACCGCAGTGGGCTGCACAAACATTGCTTATCCAAAACTCGTGGTGGAGCTTATGCCAGATGGTAAGACACTGTCTGTATTTGTTGTTTCTTTGTTTTAGGAAAACCAGACTGTAAAAATAAGTGATAGAGGGAGTCCAAGACCCATATTTAGTTCCAAAATTCTTGTTAGAATGATGTACTATTAACCAAAGGGGGCGTCTATATTAGCTGTAGGTGCAGAATAGCTCCACACTGACGGTGTCAGCTCTCAGCTGGCAAATACTGGGTGCTGAAATGATAAATGAGCTCCCTTTTTGTGAAGGTAAAAAATAACCTGCTTGGCCAATGATTTATAAAGGACTCCCTGCCAGGACTTTTGAGCTGGAGGCTTATTCCCGTGGTCCTCCTGCCAACACCACAGAGGTGGGAGCTGGCTCATAGGGCACAAAAGCCAGGATATGATTTTATAGAGACCATGGCACTTTCCTGATAGCTTTCTTACTTTCTCATCCTTTGATAACGCTTGTTAAAATCCTGCAGTACTTCCCCATGCTCTGTGACCAGATCAGACCACCTGGAAAAGTGGCTTACCTCTGGTTTTCAAACAGTAAAAGAAACTTGTTTTTTTTGGCAAATACCTGTTTCACAAATATACTACAAGCAAATGAGCACTCTCCTGCAAACAAGAGGAATTATTTTTATAACTGATGGGAAAAGTCTGCTTAATATTATTTTCTTTTTATTCCAGTGTTTAACGAGGCAGCATTCACTAAGGAAGCACCTATGTACTAAAAGCTCAAGAGTTTCCCTGGCACTGCTGTAAATAGCTTTTCCCAAGCTTTGCTTCCCCAGCAAAGGAATATCAGGCAGGATTTTATGTCAGGCACATAAATGTGCCAGGCACACTCAGAGCTGGCCGATGGAAAGGGCTGGGCAAGCACCTGGTGCCAGGCACTGAGGCTCTCCCCGGAATGCTCATCCCCATTCCCATGTTTGTGTTGCAGGTCTGCGGGGCCTGATGCTGTCAGTCATGCTGGCCTCCCTTATGAGTTCCCTGACATCCATTTTTAACAGTGCCAGTACTTTGTTCACGATGGATATTTACACCAAGATTCGGACTCGGCCATCTGAGAAGGAGCTGATGCTGGCTGGCAGGTGAGCGCGGCCGAGCTCCCCTGTGCACAGAGCCGAGCAGCCCATGGGCTGGGCTGCTCCTCCCGGAATGCCAGCGCGGCTGGAGCTGCCTGCTGGAGCTGCACTGTCCCCCTGGGGCCGGAGCTGCACTGTCCCCGTGTCCCCCTGGGGCTGGAGCTGCACTGTCCCCCTGTGGCCGGAGCTGCAGTGTCCCCCTGGGTCCAAAGTTGCAGTGTCCCCCCTGTGGCCGGGTTTGCAGTGTCCCCCTGTGGCCGGGTTTGCAGTGTCCCCCTGTGTCCAGAGTTGCAGTGTCCTCCTGTGGCCGGGTTTGCAGTGTCCCCCTGTGTCCAGAGCTGCAGTGTCCCCCTGTGGCCGGAGCTGCAGTGTCCCCGTGTCCCCCTGGGGCCGGGGCGCCGGGCCCGCCCCGCGCTCCTTTTGGGAAACCCACGGTGCTCCCGAAGGAACAGACACTGTGCGGGGAGCAGCCAAGCTAATCCTCACTGCTTCCACTGCTGCTCGGAGGAAAATCTTTTCAATTACCTTCCCGGGCTCTGTGCTGCACCAGGCTGCAGCATCAATGAACTAGTTCTGTTCATCTGCTATTGATTTGTCTCTGGACATAACAACAACAGGAGAAAAGTGATTTTCTATGTTTTGATTGCATATTTAACCATATGCTGATGGATATTTGACATACACTATACCCAGCTTGGATTTCTTTTGTTTGTTCATTGCTAATTGGCCATTATAATTGATTTCACTAGTTGAAATACAAAATGAACATGTAAATTATTGATTAATTGCTGTTTTTTTCTTCTTTATAATAGATCATAGATACTTCTAAGCAGATGGCTAATTGAATATCTGGCTATGTTTACAGGGCATTTATGTTAGTCTTAATTGGCATCAGCATTGCCTGGGTTCCTGTGGTGCAGTCAGCTCAGAGTGGGCAGCTCTTTGATTATATTCAGTCTGTAACCAGCTACCTGGGACCTCCCATTGCTGCTGTTTTCCTGCTTGGTATCTTCTGCAAGCGTGTCAATGAGCAGGTAAATGCAAATTAGGAAATAGGTATGCATGTTCCTTTAGGAACTGGGAGAACTGGGGGGGGTTTGTCATGAGCAACTTCTTTCTGCTTATTTTAATCCCAGTATAGCCCAGGGATTTTGTGTCTCCATAGCCCAAAGCCTAACATTTCAGAGATGAGTTTGAAAAAGCTCTTTCATAGTTTGATAGATAAACAATCACCATAGATAGCTCTGAAGCTTAGGTTACCTATCACTTTGCCAAGAAGTGTGTTAAATGCATAATCTATGAACATATATTTGAAAGTTATCATTTAGGATATTGGTCACCAAGCTGCTTTACCAAACAAATCACCTCTTACCTACCCTGTCCAGTTGGGTTTTGAATATCCCCAGGACTCCACAGTGTCTCTAGGCAGCCTGTTCCAATGATCAAGCACCTTTACAGTAAGACACCCCCCCATGTTTAAACAGAATTTCCCCTGTTTCAGTTTGTGCCCATACAAACTGTGTGTCTGTTACACTTTGGGCTAGAGTAGTGTACACCAGGCACCCACCAATAGAACTGAGAATTAAACAGCTACTCTCAGGACCATTAGCAGGTAAACCAGACACACGTTTTGGAAGGATGGCACAACATTCAGGCTGGTTCCATCATGCCAGAGCTGTCAGGGATTAAGCTCTCAAAGGTAAAAAGGTATGAGCACAGCCCCTGAGGTGTGCAATCCATGTCTGAAACCTGTGCTGCAGCAGGAAAGAGCTGTGTGGACTGTGAGAAATGGTCTGGACCAGTGTCCTGAGGTGTGCCTGATATCTCAGAGCTGTTCATTGCCCCTTTCAGTTGTACTCATCCACTGAGTTGTAAATAAGGTCACTGAAAGCATCTGGGTTAAAACCCACATGCCAAGGCCATTGTAGTACATAAAACTACATCCATGTTTCCTCCAGCAACTGTTTGAGAGCTCAGAGTTCATTTCCATGCCTGAAATTACTCATTTTGATCTGAAATTACTCATTTTGATCCCTTCTTGTCACACCCTTGCCTGCAGGGTGCCTTCTGGGGCCTAATTATTGGGCTGCTGGCTGGACTGGGCAGGATGATCTCAGAGTTTGCCTACGGAACTGGCAGCTGTGTGGTCCCTTCCAACTGCCCCTTCATCATCTGTGGCATTCACTACCTTTACTTTGCAATCATCCTCTTTGGGGTTTCTGCCATCGTCATCCTGGCAGTCTCCTTCATGACCAAGCCCATTCCTGATGTACATGTGAGTATTACTGCAGTCCTGCTCCTTGAGAAATGGAACACAATGAAACCACTGCTTTGTACTCGGTGTGTTACCTCTCAACACTTCAGGCACCCCCAGCACACAGCTCCTGTAAGAAAGCAAATAGTCTTCACTGACCTGTCACAGATCTTCAGTGACTCCTCATAGCCTCAGACATCCCAGACATTTGGGATGCTGTGATGTCACAGCCAGCTGGGGTGCTGGCCAGGCTGGTTGGCCATGGTCAGCCCATGACCCATTGTCCTCTTGTTCCGTGGCAGCTTTACCGCTTGTGCTGGTCCTTGCGGAACAGCAAAGAAGAACGGATTGATCTTGATGCAGAGGAGGAGCAGGACAGATCTGATGAAAAAGATGATGAATCAGGTAACTATTGAATACTTAGAGATTCTCTCATATATTTGAGCATCCCTGTTTCATTCCTGAAGGAACATTAATATGCTTTATAGTCAAAGACATCCTCTCCCCCCAAAAACAAACCTCAGCCCCCACAAATTTAAACAGCTCATGGGCTGCCTTTACCAATCTCTTCAGCTCAGTGTAAATCAGAAGTGAAGTGGATTTGAAGGGAGAAAATCTTATTCTCTTGGTAGCTGGGTGGCAGCTCTAGGACTAAACCAATGGCAATGCTCTGGGTCAGAGGTGCTGTGCATTGGCAGAACTGTGTGTGACTCCAGCACTCAGAGGGAATTCACCTGGACAGAGTGAGTTGTGATCAGGATTGAAGGCACCATGAAAGCACACTGCAAACCCACCTGCTCTCTTCACTGGGTTTCTGGTTCTGCTCACAAGTTCCTTTTTATCAGTGTCCTCAAATTAATTTATTTGGGAATAAATCCAATAAGTTTCAATTAAGAGTGTAGAAAGTATTGAAAAAACGGAGGCCAAGTCTCTGTGCTGCAAAAGGCAGAAGGCTCTGCTTGAAACATGTAGAAAATCCCTCTTTTCCCAGGTGAGCTGTGAAAATGCTATCTTAACTTGATTCTTGTACTGTTTTGTACTAAAATGCTGCCACTGAATTCTGGCCATAAATCAGAATGAGAATGTCCTCAGTCCCAGAGACCAAGAGTGTGCCATGATCTGTACTCACCTTTCCTGAGCAGAGTGTTATTTATTCCTTCCAGTTAATGAGGAAAACCAGGAGGACCCGGGATGCTGCAGGAAAGCTTACAACTGGTTCTGTGGCTTGGACCAACAGAAGGCCCCCAAACTGAGCAAGGAGGAAGAAGAGGCACTGAAGAAAAAACTGATGGACACCAGCGAAGTGCCACTGTGGAGAAACATTGTGAATGTCAATGGCATCATCCTCTTGACTGTGGCTGTGTTTTGCCATGCCTACTTTGCATAACCCCTTGATCACAGTCCTGAAATTGTACTGCACACAGTACACAGTACTGCATGGTTCCAGCAGAAATGATGGCTTGTAGATTTACACAATTAGATACACATTGCATTTTCATTATCTACATTTGTTAAACATTGGAGTGATTTACTCACTGATTTTGTGATCATAATTTCAGCAATTTAAAGATGAAGGCCACTGGGATTTTAAGAGAGAGAATTTCTATTTAGACATTGAACCAACCCTGGGCTGAGGTTCAGAATTTCCATCCAATATTCTCTCTGCTCATTATACATTTCATATTTTGGGTTCTGAACAAGGCTGCATGAGCCATATTTCATTTCAGGTCTTGTGAACTATCTTTTAGGGTTGATGACCCTATTTTGATTTTCATCCCTTCCTCTGATCATTCAATTTTCCTCTTCCTTTGGTTGTGATAATTTGATTGCAAAAAGCCTGCAACCACTGAGGGACTGTGTTACAAATTCAAAACATTGCTTTTGTCCCTCCAGACATGGGATATCTTAAGTAAAGGATTTATGTATATATCAAGGTATTTGATATTATCTATAATTTCCCATTATAGTTTTCCCCCCTTTTTCTCACTTTCCATTGGGTTGTGTTTCTCAGTTGTCAGTGGAACACTAACCTCTGAATTGATCACATTTTGAAATTGGGGAACACCTGTCTCAATCTTAAAAAGAATTTTGCTTACAGTAGATTATCTGTTTAAGGTTAACTTCCAAAGGTCCTCCTCTCTTGATATTTTAATATATTACTATACTTGAATGTGAAAGTTTTTATACAAAATACATGTATTATATATACACAGACGATACATTATGTATATGCACTCTAGATATTATATATATTTAAAATATATTTTTATGTGTGTGTATACATATTTATTTCTTACTGATCAGTTCCCACCCTGGTGTGTCAAAGACCTCTTTACTGTGGGCTTGGAGTCAATGTGCTGCCTCTGTCTGTGGACTGTGCTACAGACCTGCCCAAGGTGAAACAGCCACAGCATTGGGATGCTGGGCTGCATTTTGCAAATACATTGAAGGGCTCTGTACTGCTTTTCTGCAAAGCTATAAATCTTTCCTCTGAAGATTTCATTGAGAAATAGGATTCCTGCTGCATGGCAGCATGAGTTAGCAGTTCAGGAAGGAGAACAGCCACAGCTGTGGGATATCAGCTAAACCAGGCTGAGTGTCTCCACTCCATAAGTTTGGTACCAGCTGGGGACATAAGAAAAGACAAATTTAACACTTCAAAGCAAAAAGCAATAGATCTTCTTTTCATCTCATTCATCTTCCTGGAGAGTCAAGTGTAGAAAGAAGATGCTGGTTGCTCAGTCAGGCAGTGCCCCAGCTCCTGTTCCTTTTCACACACGTTGGTGGCACTGGGCTGTCCCAGAGCATCGCCGAGGTTCTGCCACAGGACTGGCAGCAAGGGCAGTGGAGGGGAAGGCAGAGCAGCCCCTGCAGTGCTCGGCTCACTGCTCTGCCTCCTGGGCTTTCAGCACTGCCACTTCTTAATCTCCTGGCAGCACCTTGGCTTCATTTGGATCTAACCCCAAATTCTCTGCATTCCAGCAGAACTGCTGCTCTTCAGTTGAATTGATGCTATTCAGCATAATCCCTGCAGGACCCTTTGCATAGGTAGATTAAATCAATACTTCAGAAATACCAATGCAAACCTTAACACAGTGATAGAGTATTTTAAAGACCATGGAATTAATTGTATTTAATGAACTATGAAGACTCGTATGCATTAAAGTAATTGTATATTTTGAAGTATTTGGCATCCACAAAGTGATGGGATTTTTATATAATACGATGGAAGACAGAGAAACTTCATTTGGTGTCTAGGTTTTGGCTCTGGGTAATAGTAATGGATGAAAACCAAGCTATTTGGATAAAGACAAATAACACAAGTGATTTCCTGGCAGTCTGAGCAGTCTTTAGATGACCTCCTGGCTAATCAGGCATCATTACATGATTTTCCCCCTCAAAACTACAGAGTTTTGAAAATCTAATCCACAGTTTCTATGGGATATTGATTGTATGTCCTCAGCAACCTGATTTCAGTCTGGTCTGAAGGTGGATGTTGTGGAGGAAAGAGCTCAAATGTTTACATAAAGTTTGACAGCTACTATTGACTCCTGTAATTTTGTAGAATTTCAAAGAAAAATTGCCTTATAAGGTGAACAGTTGATATAATTGTAATGTTTAGCTAACATTGGTAGCTACTGCATTCACAATTTTAAGGATGAAAATTACTTTTCTTCAGTTTCCAGGAGAGCTCTGTCCATGAGCTGTTGGGGACACTGAGATGTCAGCAGCAGCTTACACTGTTCTGGGCATTGCCATGCTTTAGACATAGGAACTGTGAGCACACTCTTCTCCCCAGTGTCTGACCACACATTTCAAATACTTCTTCTTAGTGCTGAGACTCCAAATAAATCTGGCTCACAGCACAAAGTACCTGCATGGCATGTACACATAACATAGTTTCAGGGGATCTTGAGACATCCCAGCTTACCCTGTCAGGTAAGATACATGGTTAAAGCTTATTTTAGTGGACTTTAGTTAGATAAACAGAATTATTTTAATAAATCAAAATAAAATAAAATAAAATAAAATAAAATAAAATAAAATAAAATAAAATAAAATAAAATAAAATATGCACTTAGTAGCACTATTAGGAAATTGTGACACTGCTCTGTAAAGAACACACACTAAACAAAATCTTCCATTTAAGAAATACTACATATTTCTTAGGAAAAATCCTGAAGAAGGATAATCACTGTTCATTTAATTAGTCTGTATCACCCACAAAAATGTATCCAAGTATTTCATAAATGTTTAGTATTGATGATAATGAGAACACCCCGTTCTTAGAACTCAGAATTTGGGTTTATTCCTATTTTGTTATTGAAAAACCTCATGCACTGTAATGCCAGGGGAGGGAAGGTCTGGGACTTGGCTTGGAATGAATCTGCAGTAGCCATGGTTTAGTTTTCAGCAGACTGACTGGCCATGGCACAAGGCTGAGCTCCTCAGGGGCAGGAAATTGTGGTGCCTGGAGCCCAGCTGGGATTGCAGGGGACTCAGCTCCCTGGCCTTCCTTGCTAGAACCAGGAGAGCTCCTATAAAGGAAAAGCCAGCACCAAAATGAGGAGCAAAGGCAAACAATAAATCCATCTATTGTCAGTTGTTGTATTTGTGGGGCACCTGAGCTCATTGGTTTGAAGGGCTGAGCCAGAGGACTTCAGAGCTGACATTTCTGGGGACAAACTGCACAGAAAAGGGCTGGGCACAGGCTGTGGGGTGACAGCAAAGCTGCTCTCAGGAAAGCTTCTGGGTGCTTTCATTTGTTTAATGGTCTCATGTGGCAGCTGCAGGTGTCTGTGCCCTGCTACAGAGCTCTCTGGGGGAGCAGAGAAGCTCCAGAGAGGGAAGGGAGCAGCAGAGACCTTCCCTTGTGCTGAACTGAGACTCTGTAGCCCCAGGTTTAGTAACAGCAGGCAATACACTGCTGAAAGAGGTGAGAAATGCAAAAACCCTCTGCTTTTATTTGGTGATTTGTGGCATTTTCACATGGAGTGTGTTTTGTAGGCCTGTGCTGGAAAACCTAAAGGAGCAAAACTTCACTCACTCCAATTCTACCAGTTGTTCTGATGCAAGACAGTATGAGCAGTGCCTCCAGTTATTGTCTTTATTATTAATAAAATAGGTTCCTTTTTTTGTGCCTCCAACAGAACATTCCTTCTTGCCATCTACCATGGGCAGATGTGAGAAAGAATAATTCCCCCCCAGCTCCTTAGCCCAGCCTCTCCTCAACTGGCAGAGCTGAGGCCAGAGCAGTTGTGCCTGCCTGGATCAGCATCTCCCTGCTTTTCTGAAGGTACCTGGAAGAGCTTCAAGCTGAGGTGTGAGTTTCTTGTCACTCTGTGCAGCATTATTGTTTACAGTATTGGAGTCTAGAATATTTTAAATGTAGCTTATATGCAAGGTATGTTAAAACAAATTATTATAATGGGTTTTATTAATTCAAATTGCAAACTTTGTCTTGCTAAAAATAGGTCCTGTGCTTTGGGCATATTAGCTTTGTGTGTAGCTGTTTCTGCCCTTCTGGTTTAATGTCATTACTCAAATCTGACTTTCCCAGACTATCTTGTCCTTAGACAAATCTCTCACTTCATGATTTTAATTTACATTTTTTTAATAGAAAATGTAGTGGTGGGAAGCAAGTATACTCCCTGCTTTGAACCATGAAAAGATGAAATTAAAAGCTGCCATTTTCCAGAGCAGGATAGAATGGTTTCTACTCCTTGGCCTTCTGAAAGTGTAGAGGAACAGGGGAAATGAGTCTGTAGTTGCAAGAACAAAGAGCCATAACATTCTTAACCTTCTGGAAACTGTTAGAAAAAATTCAACGTGACCTCTGCCTGGGTGGACTCCACAGGGAAGTCTGGTTTCCCATGGATGCAGCTGCCTTGCCTTCTGGTGTTGCTGAGGATTGTTGCTGCTTTGAAAACTCAGTCTGTATAGAGTTTAACTGCCTTAATTCCAGTAGTGACCCGGGACCACATTAATTATATCTGGGCCTTAAGAATTGTTGGCTTCAAGCTAAAAAGGCAAATTGATTTCATTGATGTTAAAAATCTGCCTTGGTGCTAAAGCCATTGGAGCATAGAGCACTGGGGAGGGCACAGTGCTAAACCCAGAGACTTGCAGTACACACAGCATTTCCTTTGAAACCATGAGTTTAATTGGGGTGTGAGGTGCCAGATGCTGAGATGTTAATTTAAGTATTTATAATGTGTATGAAGGGATTCAGAAAGATCTTCAGCATTCTTGTGACCAAATCTGTGGCAGCTTTATTAATGGAGCATTTCTGACTGAAAGCTAAGTCAGTCCAGGGAAAGTGTCCATCAGCTGTTCCTTTGATCCAGCCAATTGTTTTATTGACACCTATAGTGCTAATTAATTCCCAGCCTCATGAAATGGGGACTCTTGTCTCTCATCCCAAAGCAGGGAATTAGCCCTCAGCATGGGACTTTTGATTATTATATCTGCAACCACTCTGTCAACAATGCAGCTTAGTAAGTAGAAAACCCCAGCTAACAGTGGTTCATGGCTGTTCCATATGCAGATTTTCAATTCTGGCATTTGCAGAGGCAGCACATGGTCAGTACAGCCCAAGGGAATTCCTGTTGTGTGATGGTTTCATGTTGTCAGGTGTAACAGTGCCAAAGAATTGCTGGGACAAAAGCTGCCATGTGGGAGAGTCTCAGCAGTGTCCATATCTCAGAGCTCACCTGAGGCTTTGCTCTGTTTCTGTAGTGTGTGTGTAAGGTGAGAACACTGATCCATGTAGAGGCTTTTTGGGGAACAGTTTATTTTGTCTCTAAAGCATTGATCAGGCAGATATTTGGAATGCAGTACTTAAGGTCCAAGGCAATTTCTTCTAGTCAGAGCAGTTCAGTGTGGTTGATCTTATTTCTGCATCTGAACAAGCTAATTATTTTGGGAACTCACTGAACAGTGATACCTGAATTATTGGGGAAGGCTGTGACAAGGTTGGACCTGGGTAAAATTATGATTGTTACCAGATTTTCCTGTAGTTCTGTAAGAGCAGCTGAGCCTACCCTGTGCTGCTCTAGTCCTTTAACATGTGGTTAAAGCTGCCTGGCTTCTCTTCCTGAGCTGGATGCACTCTGACACCAATGTGTATTACATATGAGTGCCTTATGTGTTTAAAAAGGCAGAGTTCCTCCAAGATCCTGCCTGGAGGGAATGGATACAACTGACTCAATACTTTAAATCACATCTTTGGTTACATTATGGAAGAGAAACATTTTAACTGTAATCACTCCTACAGGAAGAGTTTCTATTGTGTGTAAGGGTAATGCAGTTTGCAGTGTGACTGTGGGTTTGAATGGAAAAGTAGCCCTGACAAATAACCCCTTTTATAGACCTGGTGCAGCTTCTTTGTAGCTACAATTCCGGATATAAAGCTCTCATGTGAGAACAAAACACAAGTGAAAACAAATGGGACTTGCTGTGAAGCTGCACCAGCCACTCTGTCACATCTTCCTTGGTGGCTGAGAATGGCCAGGGCTGTCCTGCTCATTTGGGTTATTTCTCTGCCCAGGCCTCCTGTTGAAGCCTCTTAAATAACACTCTTGTAACTGCAGACAGAAGTTTGCAACATGTTTGTAGTGACCAGCCTTGAACTCCCAGTGAATAAAATGATACTGAAATTTCCCACCACTTCCACTGCCCTTCAGCTCAAACCCCGAGGTGCTTTTGTTCCCTATTACAAGCAATTCCAATTAAGGAGCAGAGTCCTCTCCTGTTGGAGAGGCCCCAGCACAGCTTTACCAAGGGCTACCCTAGTAAAGGCTTTCTGACTTTGGTCTTCATCCCACGTTTTCAACAAATGTTTTCAGCAAAATTCATGTAAATCCCTGTTGTTAGATCAATTTGTCAGTACAGACAAGACTGCTGGAGGGGTTGATTGTGAACCTTTCTAATATAATTAATTATTGATTAGTGGAGAGAAGATTATGAAAAAAACAAAACCAGAAAGGGTTGGTGTCTTGTATCATAGGAAAATCTTGGTAACTCGGACAATAACTCCTAGTGGAGAACTCCACACTTCCTAACTTTTCTTCTCCATTTTTCTGCTTGTGACCTGCAATATAGATGTTTGTAAATGACTTTTCAGGAGGGACCGATCCAGAGTAAGTGAGGAAGAGTCGTGGTGTTGAAGGTCTCATATAATCATGTACCTTTTACAGCCAGACAACAACAGAGGGCAATAGATCTCTAGAAAAGATCGCGGCTGCAGAAGGGTTTCCAGTCGATCACGGCGATGGCGATTTCGGCAGCTCTTTGCACGGCCTCGCTGGGATCATGCAGGCACTGCAGAAATGTGTCCCTGTGATCCAGCAGCGCCTGGCGGCCCTCTGGCAGCTCAGCCAGCAGGGTGAGCGTTTTGATTGCATTCAAACGCGCTTTGCTGGTTTCCTCAGCAACCAGCGTCAGTAAAGGTGGAATGGCCTCAGCACCCATGGCTGAGGATCTCCCTGTAGGGAAATAAACCGGCTTTGAAATGTGTTATGACATTTAATCACCATCCTTTCGGCCTGACACGTTCCATTCCCTGCCCGGCTCCAGCCCTGAACAGCCCCGGAGGGGCAGTGCACAGGCAGAACATGCTCTTCTTTCAGAGACCAAGGCTGGCTCCCAGCTGTTTATTTTTAAGGAAAAAGATCTTTCATGGTTAACTTTATCTGCCTTGCACGTTTGTATTTCATTTGCAACAAATTATCTAAAAATATACGAGGCACCAAATGATAGAATAAACTATGTTTTGGAGGGGGGTGAGGAGTGGAGTGTGTTAGATGCCCTTAAGAATATCCTCCAGCCTTTCATTTTTAAAAACACTTCAAAGACCGACATCCACTCCTGAGTTGTCTTTGGAAGCCCGAGGAAGGTTTGCAGAGGAGGGCTGGAACACAACTGCTGTTATTGAGTCTTTTATGTCTAATTACTCATTCATCACACTGGAAATTTAGCAGTTAGTGTTTTCTGTGTCATGTAAGTTACTGGGGAGAGATACAGACCTTATTAATATTCATTGCTCTCCCAGCTGTGAGAGAGGCGCTGCCTCTAATCCCAGAATGTTTCCCGAGAGCAGCGCTGCTCTGCTGAGCACTGCTGATTCAGTGTAGCTCCAGTTTTGTGGATCTCTGTGTGGTCTGGACTTGACTGGAAAATGTTTCCCCTCTGGAGGGAAATGATGCAGGTGAGGTAGATAAATAACTTCTTGACCTACTAAGGGGAACGAAATGTGAACTATCCTGTCCCCACCAGGCACTGTGACGAAGCAACAATGGTTGCTAAAGACAATTATAAAGAAATGTCCCAACCTTAGAGCTTCTCGACCAGCATTAACACTATCAGAAACTGAGGGCTTGAGGGATGTGAGAGGGCAAATTTTTGTTACTTAGTTGCCCTAGAATTGGATTTCCAGGAGGTACCCCAACATCTCTCACCCTGAGGTGGAACAATAGCAAACATCAGCGCTCCTGCTGAGTGACCTTGAACTTGGGGCTCAGTGTCTTCCAGCAGGCTCACCAGGGCAGGAATCACCTCTTCCTTGCACACGGCCATTTTGCCCTCAGCATGAGAGCTGTGGAGAGAAGAAGGTTCCGTTGTTTCCCCGAGCTGTGCCTGCTGCCCTGGCAGCGCCCCCGGCCCCTGGGCACGCCTGGAGCCGCAGCCCTGCCCCGGTGCCACCAGCGCTGTCACACCCTGCTGTGCTGGATTTTAATAAAAGCTCTCTGTGGTACACTGGATACACTGGACACTGATGGGCAGCCGCATGGAACAGGATGTAGGATTAAGGATATTGCTGGTACTAATTGCAGCAGAGTTACAAACCCGGCTGGTGAAGCCCCTAGAGATTTAAAAAGCTGCTAAATCAGAGGGCTAAAATGAATTCTCCCAGATAACTTTTCTCTCTCTTTCCAGCCTCTCTGATGAGGAGAATATTTAATGTGGCCCAGCCATTGCAGAGACCTAGAACATAACTTGTGTCCATATTTCAGTTGCATTTTGCTTTCTTTCTATGACTCACATTAATTATACTCTTTTCCTCTAAGACCTCTCTTTACTATAGGACATGAGGAAATCTGTAGTGCCAGTTGATATGTAAACTACATCATCTGCAGACCTTTTTAAACTAAATATTTGTTGGACATTTATTGTATTTTCTGATTGCAGTACAGTGCACTTAAGTTATTCCTTTCATCTATTTTCTCTTTAAAAAAACTTTAATAAAGATTAAAGATTGCTTTTTCTGATCCCTCACTGATATATGTGGCAGCCTGTGGCAGAAAACGATTTCTGTCTTCAATCATAGTGAAAATTCCCAAGGACCTCTAATATTCTGAGAGAGCACTTTTCCAAAAACATAAGGGAGATTCTCTCTACCTCCATAGTAGTCAGAATCGTGCTCCTACAAGATTTTTCATTTTTTTTTCAATTTTTTTTCCTAGCAGTGCTGTACCAGGAAAAAAAAAATCCTGATTCCACTGCCAATACTGAAAACAAACAGAAGGAGAAGGAATGACTGATTAGCATCTGCTTTCTTCAGTGATTTATAGCAGTTAGGAATTTTTTAAGCCCCACGTGTCCCATTTTGTTTTACCCATGTGTGCATTCAGGCTGATAGTGCTTTACATGTGAAATGTGGCAGCTTCAGTGTGTAGTGGAACACAGCTGCAAATGAATGGCATTTCTTTACTCCTGGAATTTGTTCTTTCTTGGACTTGAGCATTAGAGAGGTTTCTTTACCTGATTTCTAAGAGGACCCAGGCTGCTTTGCTCCTGATGGCTGCAGAGGGGTGTGAGAGCTTTTCCTTCAGCACAGTAAGGGCACCAGCTGCCAGGGCTTCAGAAACCTCCACACGGAGACAGTTGGAGAGTGTTTCAAGGATCAGCTCCTGGATCTCATCCAACTCCGTCTCCAACTTCAGGAGCAGTGGGGGAACCAAAGCAGCCCTCAGGACACCGGCAGCACCTGCAGAGAGGACAGGGGAGGAGCGGGCATGAGAGCTGAGTGCAGTCACTACTGCCACCTGCACCTGCAATTCCTTCAGAGCATCAAAATACATGTGGGAGCTCATCTCCTTACAGAGAGGTGGGATTGAGAGATGGAAGCTACACTGACCCCTTTATAAATGTCAGCTCTGCTTCTTCGGGAAACTTCCCCAAAAGTCTTCTAAAGAAATCAAGACCAGGTAATAACCACTATGACAATTGCTTTGATGTTCCCTATTGTTTCCCTATAATATTTCTCCCAAAATTATCCTTGCAAGGAAAATATATATACATTACAAGATCACCTTCTATGCAGCCTTTCTAACTAACTGTTCTCAACATGAACAGGTGCTAAGAGAGGCAGAGATGTTGGCCTTTAGAGGTCGTTCTTTGATTCTCCATGGTGGTTTCTGGTGGGGGAAATCAAGGTTTTGGGAACTGTCAGCTTCCTAACACATTTCTTTGTAGTAGTTCTGTCAAGACAAAAATTTAAATTCTGAACTTTCTGGCAGTCAGGACTCTTGCACTTGCTCCTAAAATATAACATCAAAGGCAGAGAGATCATAACTTGCCTTGCAAGTGATGTCTTTGCTATGAGCAAGAGTCTGATTTGTACCATTTCTTACCCTTTACTAAGTCAACATTGCAACAGCAATGCCAGGGGAAAGCAGAACGTACTGTCCACAAGTAACTATGTGAAAACAAAATTCTCCAGCTTGTCTTGTTGCTAAGACTGATTTTTTGGTTGCTATGAGAAATGTGGCTCCTTTCAAAGTGATTCATATATGGTTAGATAAGGAAGTTTGTGGATAAGAGTCACTAAGGTATTGTCAAATGAATCTCCACAGCAGTGGAGACAGTGGGAAGAGATTTTAATGACCCTTGGTAGTGCATAGGAAAAATCCCTCATGTTGATAATTGAGTGAAAAACAGTATTCTAATCTAGAGGTTATTCTGTTTTATATATTTCTGAGACTTTGCTAATACTGAATAACTTCTTATGTTACTGACTTATTAGGATCCACGTTACAATGCCAAAGCAAAGAAATGCCTTGGGGTGATATTACAGCTCTACTACCTGAGCTACATTTGGAGGTAAGTTTCTGTGAGAATTCAAATAAATAAGGAAAACCAGTTCCAAGACAATTCACTTTGAAGGCTAACAGTATTTTACAAACAAGGATTTCTCCTTGTGCCAAAAAGGCAAAGCAGGAAAGGAAAGTGAAATAATGTTCTTTGAAGCAGTGGCTCTGTGTGTCACTACACAGGAGAGTCGGTGCTTTCACAGTGAAAAAAGCCCAACCAACCCAATATTGTTCCCTGGAGGAACAAAAGAAATCTGTCAGAGCAACTCCAGCCCGTTTATACTGTCCCTGCAGAAGGATGTGATAAAGGACACTGCACTACTGCTCTGCAAAGGACTCTGTTGGAGGGTCCCTGGGAAGGAGGCCCAGCCTGCCCATCACTAGCATCAACCCTCCTGACAAGGATTGCTGGGGTTTGGATTGTGCATTATAGGTACAGAAAGGTTCTGGCAGGTCAGACAACGGCAGGAATATGTCTGGGAATTCTCAGGCCTTATGGAATGCCAGGCAGTATAGAACTCAGCAGTGAACTGCTCCCAAGGAAGCAGACTAAAGCAGTTACATCATATCCAGAATTCCTTTAGCCACACTTCCCAAGTCTTCTGAAATGGCCTGTGAAATACACGATTTTTCAAATGTAACTTTTTAAACTCTGAACAAAGCTTTTCACGAAAAGAAACTTTATGGCCAAAGTGGGTGAAATTGGGATCCCCAGACTGCTCACAGTCACCACATGCACTTTTAAATTCTAGGTTGCTGTGGAAATCAGCACAGAATGTCAGTTTGGGAGGTACAGTTTCAGAGGAAGAGTAATAAATCAAAGGTGACACACTTAAGCTCACACTGCTTGTCTCAAGTACCTGTGTATAGCTTTAACTCACACAGATCCCAGTGTTCCTTGGGACAGTCCACAAGCAAACCCTCTTTGCACAGTGCACACACACCCTGGTTTGAGCCCAGAGAAACCACTGCTGGATTTAACTTTCCAGCTGTCTCTAGCAACTGCTGCTGTAGTATTCCCTCTCCCTCCCTCGTCCTTGTTTCCTTTTTTTTGTCCATGCTTTCAAATTCTTACTAACCATTTTTTAACCTGTCATCTTAAGTTTCATCTTCACTTTGCTGCAATTCCCTCTTTTCCAGGACTTCCTTGCTAAGTTCTCACAATTCTCTTGATCACTTTATCATCACACAGCCAGGAAGTATAGCCAGCATTCAGGTTCCACTTCTTTGTGTCTGGGTGTTTCAATTAGCTTTAATGTATTCCAGCAATACATTCATCCAGCCAGGGCTGCTTTCAGTGGCCCTTAGCTTCATTCCTTCCAGTTAATGTTTATTGACTTCCTTTGCCTCCGTCATCCCTCATTCATTGCACTCCATGTCTTCTTTTGGTGCTGGTCTTTACTATGGCACTGCAGTCCTGGCTGTGAAACCCAACAAATCCACTTTGTGTCCATAAGCTGCTGAGGTAACAATGTTGTCTGGTTTGGTTTTGTGCAGCCATGAAGCAGCATTTATTCTGGGGCTACTGGTGCTCATTTTGTCTGAACACGTGGGATGTTCTAATTTTTTTTTTTAATTGATTTTGTTTTACCAGGCCAGGTGTCTGTACCAGGAGCTTTCTTGTCTTCTGTTTTTGTCAAGCTGTCTGAGCTCAAATGCTGTCGTGCTACTAGAGGGAGCTTCCCAGATATAAATATAGAAACAAAGATGAATTGTTTGACCTTGTCAAAAGTCTCAATGTGGTGAAGAGAAAGAGGGTGGAGAGGAAAGGCCATCCACAACAACAAAAAGAGACTACCTAACTCTGAGACTGAAATTTCCACGTGGAAATTCGTCATGGTTTTCCCAAGGGAACCACAGGTTGAAAGGTCTAGGGAGGGAAAAGGGAGGAGGCAAAATCAGTGGCAAGTTGTTTGGGAGTCACTTGTAAATGAGAGCAGTCTCAAATCCTTGGGTCTTAGTGAGACAACAATAGGAGGGGAATGTAAGCTGGGCTTTTGAGTAATCCTGTATTGAAAAATACACTGGCATCCTCAGGATATCTACTTTTTCATTAAAATACTGCCCTTTCAAAGGGGATATGTCTATTGCAGAGAGTGTTCTAGATACCCTGGGCCCAGTGCAGAAGCTGGGAAAAATGTCTTCAAAATGCAAATAGTTGCATTTGCAGCTACATAGTTAACGTCATTATTGATCTGTTTTTCTGAGAACTTGTAATCTTCCCTCGGGCTGCTTTTTATCTGTGCACTCATCTCTTCCTTCTTATAAGTCTCTGGCCACTCTCATCCTCCCTTTCCTGTTTTTTTTTTCAAATATCCCCAAAGAGGAGTTGCCATTTATTCTGTTCTCTCAGTATGGCTGCAGGGCATGTAAACAAGTTAAATTTTGTAGAAGACAAAGATGTTACAGTACATAAGAGTGGTGTTTTGTTGTGCTTCTCAATTACATAAATCACATTGCAAATCCTTTTCCTTAAAAATGCTTGTTTTCAAATCAAAATGGTCTGGTCTGAGGCATGTGCCTCATGCATGGCCACGAAGTGATGAGTGGTGTAATAGAACACAGATAAATTATATGGAAACACAGATTGTCTAGAATATGAATCTTTGTTGGTACCTTGGACATCTCTCTGTGATGGTCACAACTATTTGAAATGCTCAGTAAAGGCATTTGTGCTTAGGAAGGGGCATAGAGGAAAAACAAAGCAGAGCCATGGGATGGGAATCTGGGGCCTGGCATGGCAGCCAGCTGGGACAGCCCTGGGGACAGCTCACTGCCTGAGGAGCCAAGTGATCCTGACAAAACTCCCAGAGCAGCAGCTCTCTTGCTTACCCTGCAATAGTTTATCACCATTTCAGAGGGAAGAAAGGGTTTATTACCCCTGTGAGTGCCACCATACATCACAGACACAAACACGGTGCTTGGTGATGTTCCTTTTGTGCCAGGAGTGATGCCTTGACTGACACGGTGAGCACAGGGGATGCTGCCCCTACACACCTTCCTAAACCACTCCTTGCCCACTACTGGTTAAAGGGAAAAGATTTAAATTATTCTGGGAAGATGTCTGAGTCACCTGTCACAAGAACACAGTTTGAGAACCTTGTAGTAGCTTATTTAATGTTAAGATTCAGCATTTTGATTCTCAGTGCTTCTAGAACTGTGGCTGTGTCAGGGAGCAGATTCAACATAATACTAGCAATGCTATAAAACTGGGCTGGACTTTGTGGTGTCACTTTGTGGTGAGTTTGAGAAGGAGGCAGACCAGATTCAATGAACTACAGCTCACCTGCCCAGAACCCAGCAGCTTCACCAAGCCTTCTACCTGAAGAGGGGAATTCTCTCGACGTCTTTGAAAATCAGAATATTTTCCTCTTCTTTGCAAGAATAGCTGTCTGTCTTCCCATGGCAATTTAACAGGAACAAACAGCAGTGTCCCAAAGGATAAGTGTGCCTACAGACAGAGGCTGTCTCTTATCTGAAAGGACTGAGAGCTGGGAAGTCTCTGTTTACATGAACTGAAGAGCTACCAGGATATTAAGAGAACCGAGGAAAACACTGCAGAGATTGGATCAGACTAGAAATAGTAAAAAAAATTCTGTATCAAACCATTTCAAACAGAAGCATTGGCTGGAGGCATTTATTCTTATGAGAGCCCTAGGGATTCACCAGGTACAAAATCACAACCTCAACAGCAGTGGCTGTCAGATCCTCATTAAAAATACAAGAGCATTATAAAACTTTTTAAGCTTTATAAAAGCATGATGTGATCTGCTTTTGAAGCCACTGAGATTTTTTTCCAATACTCAGGATTTTGGGATGCTGTCTGAATGAAAGATATGACAGAAATCAATGTTATAAAAATATTAAAATGTCAGCAGAACCCTGCAGGAACACG